CCCATCCCTTGCCCCGCCTGCCCACAGGACCACTCACTGCCTCAAGGGCCCACCGCAGATAGCCCAGCAGCGTTATGGTGGCCACACCCTCTGCCCGCACCCTGTAGCATGAACTGCATGATGAGGTGTGAGGACAGAGTCTTGTCTACGCTGCCTGGCTGCCATGTCCTTGGCTGCACTGCTCCATGTGGGCCACACTCGGGGGCGACTCTCCTTCAGGGGGGCTGCTGGAAAGGAGGGGGTCACGGGGGGAGGCAAGGCTGGGGCAACGGCACGTGTGCCCACATAGAGGGCTCCGAGTGCCTCCTCTGGCACCCGTGCCATCGATTCTCCACCACTGCCTTATACCATTTCAGATAAGTATAGCCAGGCATACTTGCTGAGGAATTCTGGGAGTTGAAGTCCACAAGTCATAAAAGGGCCATGTTTTAAGACCCCTGCCCTATACCCTGGGTAGGCAACCTTGGCTTTTTTATGACTCGTGGACTTCAACTCTCAGAATTCCTGAGCTGGCATGGCTCAGCTTGGAAACCTTTTCCTGTCCCCTCAGCATGGCTGGCTCAGGAATTCTGGGAGTTGAAGTCCACCAGTCATAAAAGAACCAAGGTTGCCTAACCCTGCCCCATACCATTTCAAATAAATGGCGGTACTTCCTTCTGAAGTACCACTTTTCAGTGACCTGAATGGCAGGCCCAACTACTGCTTCCCCCTACTAAATTCACAAAAGTACCCTTCTGAGACACAACTAGCCACTTTAAACTCTGCCCTAGTCGGGTCTGTGGTTTCAGAAGTCATGTGAAAGGAAGTTGAAGCAAGTTGCTGGCGAGGCCTGACAAAAGGGGTTCCATGTTCCTTCCTTGGGTGCTTTGGAATTTTGGACAAATTGAACTCCCATGCTGTGAATATGCCTGTCTGACCAAATCTTGCTGACAAAGTAATTTAAGAAAGAAACTTTTTTTTCTTCCTAACTTGCTGAATTCTCTGGATCTCAGTGAAAATCCTGAATATTGCTGTCGCTAGGATGAATCAACTTTAGAAATACAGAAGGCTGGGCCCTTTTCTTGGAAAAGCTTCCTTACAAAAGACCTCATAAAAGACAGACTAGCCTGTCAATATAAGTTCAATATAGACATATCTATTATGACTAATAGTCATTGATAAATATATCATGCACTAAAGTGTCTGGGCTTTGTATAGCTTTGATATAATACTTCTATTTAATGTTGGAGTTCCTCTGTAGAGTAGGGGCTGAAACTTCTTGGTGGGGAAAGCATGTGGAATAGTAGAAGTTAGGAATATAAAGGACATCTTTGGACTTGGATTAGACGCAGCCAGTAGAGGAGTGGTTCTCAACCTGTGGGTCGGGACCCCATTTGGGGTCGAACAATCATTTCACGGGGGTCGCCAAACAACGCAGTCCGCCATTTTTTCCCCCTTTTCCTTAGCTGTGCTACTCCCTTTTATTCTATTGGCTTTTGAAAGCCAATAGAATAGACTCTCTTGAATAGAGTCTAATTCTATTGGCTTTCAAAAGCCAATAGGAATTGTCCAGGCTGTCTCTGCCCTGCTGAGCCCGCCAAAAGTCCCATTCTGCAAATGGTGCTGCACCAGTTGAGTAGTCCTCGACTTATGACCGGTTGAGTAGTCCTCGACTTACGACCAGTTGGGGGTCGTGGCATTAAAAAGGTTGAGAACCACTGCAGTAGAGTCTGATGATAAAATTCTGTCAGTTATAATGGCAAATAGGACCTAGTTTTTTTCCTTGCAATTATCCCCACTTTTGCATTGTTTAGATAACCAAGAAATTTTGATTTGCTTGAGCCATGGTGAAAGATAACCAGAATGATACTGTTCTTTGTGACTTAGTTGCTGGAGGAAAAAAAAATGTTTTTGAAGATTTCAGGGAGTTAGACAATAGAATTGGATTTGGTAGGTGACTTTGCCCTTCGCACAGAACAAGCAAGGCAGCCGGGCATCAGTAAAATCAGTTTTACACCTTGGTTATCTTTGTACTTTTCCATTAATCTACTAAAGTGGATTAAAACTATTGTGTGAGCCCTAATCAACAATGTGAGCTGTTATTTCTGAATGTGGTTATAAAAGGAATTTGAGAACGTAGTGCCCTTTAAAAGGTGCCAACCACAGTTGTGAGCAAGGCAGCTATTCCCATCGTCTCCCAGTTCTCAAAACTTGCCAGGGACTGTTGCCTTGTGGTCTCTTGTCAAAGATCAACTGCTTGGACCACTTGCGCGTGATCTCCCATCCTCTCCGTATTGGAGAAACTTCAAAGAGCCAGTCTACACACAGACTCTTTATGTGGTTGTCAGCTTTGTTTTTTGCAGACCCATCTTCAAATTGCCATTTCTTCTTCCCAAGAAGGACATTTATATGTTAGTTATTGAGGTACTACAGTTATAGCAAGTTTTAAATATTTCATTAACTTTCACATTACGGAGCTCCCTCTGTTTTATATGTGCCATAGTTTTATTCATAATTGTGTCGTGTGGTTCTATTCTAACTACATTCAGTTTATTTATTTTTTTATGTGCACTTGTCTTGTATCAACATCGTACATGTTTTATACCTTCAGAGATATTTTTGTGAAAACCTTACATTATGCAAAGCTCCCACCTTAGACAAACTCATAATATTCTAGAATTAGTACAAATAAAAAAAGCTTATTTTTGGAAAATAACAGATTGTGCAGGAAATATTTTCCCAATTATTACTTTGTTTTCTTGCATAGTGAATTCAATTTCTCAGAACTGTTTCATATAGGCAGAAATTTTATTTTTCTCCATACCCTATCTTTCATTTTCTCAGAGCGGCATAGCTTTACCCAAGTTGTAAAATAATTTGTTATGAGATATTTTAATACATTTGAAACTTGGTCGTTGTTCCTGTGTAGACTATTTTCCACTGATACTACTTCCAAAATACCGGAGACTTCATTCCCCTTTCACCCCACGAGTTACATTTGATTCAAAAGCTTAGTAAAACTGCCCGGCATTGTTGTACAAGCTGATACCAAAATAGTGTCTGATACCAAATTGTAGAAACAGGCTGATGCTAATCCCAAAGGTGCTTTTTCAAAGAACAACTGGACTTTGTTTTTCTTTGAAGACATTTCCCTCCTCATCCAAGAAGCTTCTTCCGTTCTGACTGAATGGTTGGAGGAAGGATTTATATTCCTTGCAGATGACTGCAGACGACCACCATTCAGTCAGAACCAAAGAAACTTTTTGGATGAGAAGTGAAACGTCTTCAAGGAAAAAACAGCCCCAGTTGCTTTTTGAAAAAAAAAGCACCTTTGGGACAATGGTGACCTGGATCAGGGCTTTTCAGCCTTTTCACCCATTGTACCACTTTTAGGATATGGCAATATCCGAGGACCACCAGTTGCCTAGCAAGGTGTCAAAAACTTGATGACCCCCCAAAAAAAGGAAAAAATAGTGATAAAGTACAGGTAGTCCTCGACTTACAACAGTTTGCTTAGTGACTGTCGAAGTTACAATGGCACAGAAAAAGTACCCCCCCCAAGGCACAGCCAAGCAAGACACCTGCCTGCCCCCCCGGCAGCGCTCTTCCTCCTGTCCGAGGTTTTCATTGTTGTGAGCATTTCTGTTGAGGATTGGCAGCGGGGGTGGGGTGAGGGGTGTTTGGTTTTTATTCCCCCCCCCCGTCTGCTGGGTGGTTGCAGCAGGTTTTGGTCACTTCACATGACCCTGGGACACTGTGACCACCATAAATATAAATCAGTTGCCAAGCATCTGAATGTAAGTCACAAGACCCTGGAGATGCTGCAACATTCCAGCTGATTGGTGCTTCTTCTGGGCTCAGCAGAAGCACCAGGATCAGCGCTGAGCTCCAGCTGGAGCCTGGCGCTGATCCGGCGCTTTCGCTGAGCCCTGACAGCCCTGCAGCTCCAGCCTCTCTTGCTCAGGCTTGTGCAGTGCTCCCACCGGTTCAGCTCATTCCCCTCCCACACTACTTTTCTAGGGTGGTTGCGTACCACCTGCCAGTGCCAATGTACCACCGGTGGTACCCGTACCACTGGTTGAAAAGCCCTGACCTGGATGATTGAGAATTTCCCCAGACTGATTTATGCTAACCTTTCAACTCCCAAGAGAGTGGAAGAAACTTTTTGGGAACATTGCAATTTCATTTAGGATGGTAGGGAATACTTCTATTAAGGCCAAGTCCCTCGGGGAGGGAAGACCATCTGCTCCTACTTGGCTCCTATCTTCACAGGGCCTTAAGCGTTGAAGCCCCCTTTCACCCAAACCAGGGGTAGGCAACCTTGGCTCTTTTGTGACTCGTGGACTTCAACTCCCAGAATTCCTGAGCCAACCATGCTGAGGGGAAAGGGAGAGGTTTCCAAGCTGAGCCATGCTGGCTCAGGAATTCTGGGAGTTGAAGTCCACGAGTCATAAAGCGGCCTAGGCCTAGGCCAGAGGTAGGCAACCTCAGCTCTTTTATGACTCGTGGACTTCAACTCCCAGAATTCCTGAGCCAACCATGCTGAGGGGAAAGAGAGAGGTTTCCAAGCTGAGCCACGCTGGCTGAGGAATTCTGGGAGTTGAAGTCCACGAGTCATAAAGCGGCCTAGGCCTAGGCCAGAGGTAGGCAACCTCAGCTCTTTTATGACTCGTGGACGTCAACTCCCAGAATTCCTGAGCCAACCATGTGAGGGGAAAGAGAGAGGTTTCCAAGCTGAACCATGCTGGCTCAGGAATTCTGGGAGTTGAAGTCCACGAGTCATAAAAGAGCCAAAGTTGCCTACCCCTGACCCAAACCAATTTAAGGCCTTTCCACTGAAGTCAATGAAGACGCCCCATTGGCTCCCCCCGCCCCCATAGGCTGTCCCAGGTGAAGCTTGAGCGAAAGATGGGGAGGAGGAGCAGGAGGACCCACTCCCCCCCCCCGGCAGGCCACTGGACCCTTAAGCTTGGCTTCTCCCTCCCTCCCTCCCCGCTCGACTCGAGGGAGCATGTGATCGCTGGTGGGTCTCGAATTCGCTCGCCTTGCCATGGTGTGGCAGCAGCGCGGAGCTCGATGGAGGCTGCTTGAGATTCGAGAGCGAGTTGGGCGGCTGCTCCTCCTCCTCCTCCGCTTTGGAGGATCCACCGCAAGTCAGGAAAGCCCGACCGACCTTCCCGCCGCCAAAACGAGGATCTCCAACAAGGTAGGACTGCGGGGCCCCGAGGTTTTGTGTGTGTGTGTGTGTGTGTGTTCCCCCTGGTTTTGCTGGATCTCCCTGCCCTGGCTGGCCGCTTCCCTCTTGGAAGCCTCCCTGGGCTGGGGAGCAGAAGTTTGCCAGCCCACCTCGCCGGGCGCCAGCGCGTCGCCTGACCTTCTCCCAGCCACCACCACCACCCCCGCGCCGGTAACGGGCTCGTTTGTTCCGGGGGGCGGCGGCGGCTTTGCCTGGGAAAGCTGGTCAGCCGAGCTAAGAAGGGGATGGGTCGGCGCTGGGGAAAGGGAGTCTTTCTGGATCCTGGGAGAAAGGCGGCGGCGGCGGCGGCGGCGGCAGCCGCGTCTGTGATGGAGACGGGCGTGGGGGAGTGGGAAACGCCGTAGTAAGACTGTAGTGACGGCGCTGCTCCCGAACGGATTAAATCAAGGCAGCCTTGCGGAGGCTGCCGGGGGTGGTGGTGGTGGTGGTGGGGGAATCCATCCTCTCTGCCTGCACTGTCAGGCTTTGGGGAGATCCGCTGACGTCTCCCCTTCCCCCCCTCCCTCTCGATCGGGTCCCCTGTTAATTTCCCCGGCTTGAGAAGCGGGGGGGAAAAAAAGAAGGGGTGACTTTTCTCGCCGGGTCTCCCCAGCCCTCCCCGTTTCTGGAGCTGCATTGCTTTGTCTGAGCCCTCCCTCCGAAAGGCGTTGATCATCAACGGGACGCTGCTGCTGCTGCTGCGTCTGGTGTAAACGGGGCTGTAAAGGTCCGCCGCTGGTCGCCCCGGGAAGACAGGCGAGACCCTCCCCGAGGGATGGACCCCTTCCTTTCTGCCCCCTCACCCCCGCCCCGGTGGCGCGGCGGGAACTAAAGCTTTGCGCCGCCACATGCGGGTGTCAGAGGAGTGGCGCCTTTTTTTTTTCTTGTTTTGTTTCGCCTCTCCAGAAACGGGAAAGGCTCACCTGAAGGAATCTCGGTGCTGCTGCTGCCGCCGCGGCTTTGGCCTCTCCGGAGGCCCCCGAAGCAGGAAGGTGCCTCAGGGCGGCAGGCGTCGGTGAAAGGGAGGAAAAAGCGTCGCTTGGCACCCGCCCCGTCTCTGCTCTGGGGGGTGGGGGATGTTTAAAAGAAAATTGGAAACCGCAACTCTCCCTCTTGCAATTTTAATAAGGTTCACAATAGGGCTGTGGAAACTGAGCTGCTGAGGTAGGGGAGGAGATGTTCGTAAGGAGAAGGAAGGGCCCTTTGCAACCGGGAGTAAAGCCACTTGCCTTGGGTTAAAATATGGCTTTTGCTTCCCCATTGAGATACCTGTGCGATGACAAGTCCTAGACCAGGGGTAGGCAACCTTGGCTCTTTTATGACTCGTGGACTTCAACTCCCAGAATTCCTGAGCCAGCTCTGCTGGCTCAGGAATTCTGGGAGTTGAAGTCCACGAGTCATAAAAGAGCCAAGGTTGCCTACCCCTGTCCTAGACAATAATTTCCACATTCCCACAAAATAAGAGTCAAATTACAACTGAACCAACAGGCAGGAGATAATTACTGTCTCTATTAGAACCAATAAACAAATATGTCTTTTCTGGGACCTTTAATTTATGTTTTACCCTTATTTATATCCCGCTTTTCAGGAAGCATATCCGTCCATGGTAGGATGCGACCTGCAGCTACTGAAAAACAGGTTGCATGAATGCAGGTGTGCATAGTGAATAAATCCAGCATAGGATCTATGGGAACCGCTGATGAACCTATCAGAATTCACATGCTGATTTTATTCAGCTGAAGCTGGCTGTGCGGTGACCTTTATCTGCTGCAGTCTTCCTATCACAGCTGGATCGTCATCCCTACAGCCCAATGCATGCTATGCACAGGGAAGAGGGTCAAAAGAATCAAGAGGGCAGCTACAACTGTGTGGTCCAAGTCCACTCCTGTTCTACATTTTTTTCCCTTTTAACAACGCTGTAATCCCTTGCATCGGGGTGGCGTTGGGGCGACTAAATGGAGTTGAGCGTTTACTGGACAGATGCCCTTCCTGACGCCTATGTGGAGTTTGCAGCAGATATTTTCTGTATGCACCCAGAGAAAGAAATATTTGCCACTACGTAGGAGCGAATGCACGGCTACCCGATTGTGAGGTGAGAGCTCCGCCTCTAAGCCACCATTTATTTTCTACATCAGGGGTGTCAAACTCACAATGTCACATGATGTGTTGCAACGTATTACGACTTTTTTTCCATTGCCGGCAATGGAGTGGGCACGGTTTCGGCATGACGCATCCAGCCCACTGGCTGGTGGTTTGACACCCCTGTTCTACATGATACACACAAAATGGGTGGAGCTTTGACTCTGTAGTTGTAACTGCCATCATGACTGTTTTGACCCTTCCCCCCTCTTTCCACTCTAAAAAGGGGTTAGAAAGAAAGGAAGCTAGTTGTAATGAAGTATTTTCCCCTTTCACATAGCAAGAATTATATTCTGTTGCTGAAAGCAGATAATATTAATAATTTTTGCCAGATATTCAGCTATTAAAAGCAGATGATCGAAACCCAACATCAATATAGTATTAAAGACTGCTATATAAATTAGGTGCTAAGCAGCTGGAAGTATTTCCCAAGCAGGGAAAACGCTAAGAAAAAATTAAAATAAATATGAGTTTGTTTCAGGATTAGATTATCACTAAAGGGAAAAGTGTTAGAATGGGTGTTACCTTCAATATCTTGGCCTACATGGGCTTAAGTTTATTAGTTTCAAGCTTGGCAATTGTGCATATGGTGGTCTTTTAGGCATGTATCAATCTTTCCTTGGGAAATTTTTTAAGCTCCTCAAAATCTGATGCCTGGAGGAAATAGATCAGAGACATCCTGTAATAGTTGGTGCTTTTTAGTTTAAACAGTTTGCCAGCTGGTTAAACTAAACGCCAGATATGAAGAATTGAGCATCTCCATAGTCCAACTCTGAAAAATGGCGTATTACCATTTTTAAAACTTAGAAGTCCCTGCTTGCTAAAATTCTTCACATAGATTGTTATTCCTGGGTATCAGTTGGGTAGTTTGTGATGGTAATACCACAAGCTCAAAAATTCTTATCCAGTTATCGTACTAGCAGTTGGTTTATCACTTTAGGTTTGTGTCCCTTGAATCCCATAATCTGTTTAGCAGTGCCTAGTCATTCAGTTTGAAGAATAAATTTTTAAAGAGACACGTTTTAGAGCTCAAAATGGTAGGTACTTTAAACAAGTATTTTATACTAGTGTAAAAAATTAATATAAGATGCTTGTTTCTGGTTTAGCATAATTTTAGAAGCCAATCCCTGAGATTTATAAAATTTGGTTTAGACTTTTATGCCTTGTTTAAGGAACAATGGTTAAAAATCCTGATTTAATAGTAAAGAATTCTTATTATTAAATCTAACCTAGACCCTCAAGAGGAACATGAAATATACTTAATAGGAGAAAAAATAGGATCATCTAGAGATGATGATGTCTCTGAATGAAGATTTGAGGCAAATAATTGTGCTGATTTACGAAAAACCAAGAGGACTATTATTCAAATATGTCATTTTAAGTCTGTGTATACACTTCAGCTCTAACAGAAGGGGATAAGGCTGCAACAATACAACTCATTAGGAAACAAACATGGATTAGTGCATTGTGTGTACTTAGCACATGATAAGCCAGTTAGATGTACTAGTGGTTAAGGTACTGCTTAGAAACCAGGAGAGTGAATTCTAGTCCTGCCATAGGCATGAAAGCCACCTGGATGCCTTTAGGCCAGTTCTTCTCTCTCAGTCCAACTCACAGAACTGTCTTTTTGGGGAAAAACAGAAAGAGGAAAGATTATTATGTAGGTATATTTGCTGCATTGGGTTACTTATAAAGTAATAAAGCCAAGATAAAAATATAAAACCAGAAGATGAATTATTTTGATATTCAAGTTGTGTTACTAAGCCTTATTAAAACTATCTTGAGCTGAGTTTGACAGTTGGTGGCTAATTGGCTGTCAATACTGGCAGCTATATGGAAATGGTTGTGATTGTCTAGACCACAGCCTTGAGGTTTTCTAGAAGCCCTCCATCCAAGTACTAACTAGACATTAATTTGGCTAGTTGTTGGTTTTTTACAACTGCTAATCTCATTAGGTGCTATCACTATTTGCAGGCAAGAACTAAAAGAGACTAAGAAGGAAGAAGTTTATTAGAATTGGTTGAGAAGAAAGATCACTGAATATATATCAAACATAAACGATTGGATTGATTGATTGGTTGATTATGTGCCATTAAGTCAGTGTCAACTCATGGTGACCAAGATGATCTAACCTGATCATTTAGGTCAGGGGTAGGCAACTCGTGGACTTCAACTCCCAGAATTCCTGAGCCAGCCATGCTGAGGGGAAAGGGAGAGGTTTCCATGCTGAGCCATGCTGGCTCAGGAATTCTAGGAGTTGAAGTCCACGAGTCATAAAAGAGCCAAGGTTGCCTACCCCTGATTTAGGTCTTCCAATGATGTACCCATCAGCAGCGTAACCAAGTCCATGTATGTTGCTGCTGGTCATTCTTTTTTTCTCTTTTCTTCCACCTTTCCCAGCACTCGGACTTTCTCTAGAGAGAAGAGCTTTGCTTAATGTTTCTGAAATCAGATAATTTGAGGCTGCTCAGGTGTGACTCAACTTGATTGATTTGTTCGATGACCCATTTGTTTGTTTTCATGGTATTCTCAGGAGCCTTTTCCAGTGCCAAATTTCAAAATTTCTGATTGGATAGGTAATAGACAAGTTAAAGAACTAAGTTGGATGGAGATTATAATTTCAAAAAAAGAAACTCAGCCAAGTAGCTAAAGAAGATTAGAAGATAATATAGAAATCAGAATGGGATCATTAGAAATTCTTTCTACAATGCTCAAAGCTCAGCTTACTTATACTGCAGTTTATTTGTTTTGACTTTGCAATAACAGAAATATTGTCATTTTGGCCTCCCAGATGTTATTGAACTAAGCAGCTCAAAATTTACAACTGACCA